ATGCAACATGTAAAGAAACCTTCACCAAAGGCGCTTTACATTAAGTTGGGAATTCCAGATTGCTTTTTAACCAATTTACANGGCGCTTTACATTAAGTTGGGAATTCCAGATTGCTTTTTAACCAATTTACAATCTTGAGAGATCCCTATAAACTAAGGGTATTTATTGTCAAGGTTTATATTCTCACTACTTCTTGTACCCCTTTCGATGTTGCTTAGTGCTAATGACTAAAGAGGTGTAGAGAAATGGTCTTGCCAGGAATGAACCCTTTTCAAAATTATCTTGGATGYGATGGCTAACATGCAAATACAAAAGAAATTCAAATTCCATTGAGAAAAAAACTGATTTCTTTTTTATTTTCTATGTGCTTCACATCGACGATAATTTTGAGAAGTCTCCATTGAGCCCATGACCTCGTGCACAACAGTCTGTCAGATGCTCAAACAACCAAATGTCAGTGGTTATACACCTAATTGAAAAACTGTAGTCAGGTTCGAGAAGGTTATATCATTGAAGCTAAGACCCAAGGAGAGCATGGGAAGACAAACAATTATGCTAATTTCATGCGTATTGAGTTTTCCCTTCCTGTGCACATTTTATGCATCATGGCTTTAGCATGTTGTTAATCTAGGTTGCTTTACTGTGCATTTTTACATGTCTATATGCAAATATAATACACATTTCAGAGTACCCAAAATCCTTTTCAGTCTTAGCTTTGATGATATGACCTTCTCGAACCTGACTAAGTTTCTTCAATTAGGTGTAAACATCAGGCTATATCTCTAGTTTAGCAAACTCCATTTCTACCACTGGATACTCRCAGATTTTTGGACTTCAAAAGCAATTTGTGCAGAGGCTCCTCCCATATCTAAAGCACCAACAGTTGCCTTGCGAGGCGCTTCTGAGCCGCCTGTTGTGGTTGGGTTTTCTATTAAAGCAATAACATTATAATAAYGATGATGATGTTGGTCACTGTAATGAGAATGAGTATGATAATGAATCATATCAAGCTTTACTCTATATGTTACTTAAGTAGAAATTGGAGTAGAGAAAGCTCACTCCACATATGGTATGATCAATTCCATATTTGGATTGTGCGGAAAAGTGGCAAACAAAAAGGTCGTCGTTTCAYAATGAATTCGACATGAACATTTTTGAAGAAGAAAAGAAAAGAAAAAAAAAGGCAAGTAAAAAAGGAAAAACTTTGGAAAATCAAGGAAGGATACAGGGATGATACGAACTCGTGGGTCTGCCTCGCAGACAACAGACAAATGGAAATAAGACACTCAATGTTTGATATGTGGCTATCATGATGTTATATAACCACAATGATAATAATAAACAGTGCTCAATTATGGCAAAAAGGATAGTTTATTTATAGGTCCAATATGACAGCAAGCCCTTTTAAACTAGGTGCAATGTTTTCCCATTTCAGACCAGATGTCATTCCCTGGAGAATAAGATTCTTTGTTTTAGTTGTATCCATAAAAGCTTTATATTTATAAGCGTATAGTCATTCTAGCACTTTCACACTAATTGGGGACACTTTTCACTCACACACACTACCACTACATACAATGTTCTATGCACACAGCGCTCAATCCACATGTCGATTTTTACGGAGGGAGGAAACYGGAGAACCAGGAGAAAACCCTTGTAGCATAGGAGAGAATGACACATGGTCTGAAATGGGAAAACATTAGGTTCTTTAAAGCTAAAGGGGTCTGTTAAACAAGTTAGACCTAGGGCAAACGTCGAACTTTCCATGCACCGAACTCATTAAAAACAATGGATATCAGGTGATAATGAAGCGGCATTCTTTGATGTAATTAAGTTCGGTGCATGGAAAGTTCGACGTTTGCCCTAGGCCTTTAAATTAACTGGAAAAGTTGGTTTTACATATAGTTGTATTRCTGCATGATAGACTTCATACCTTGATGGGCATGTGAGTGGTCAAATCTTCCTAACACAAAATTCACTCCAATCCAAGAGTAGATACCTTTGTTGCAAAAATGGAATAAAGTACACATTTAATAAATGGATGGCACATTTACATCACAATGTGAAATGTTTATAAACAGTACGCATCCACCTATTTCGCACCTAAGGAACACACAAATTTGCACAATACTTTGTAATACTTGGTAGATAATTACCTTCCTGTTTTCCAGTGATAACTTCAGCATGCGATGATGTAAAATGAAATTCATACTTGGTAGGTATATCARCAGTTAAGTCTTTTAGAATAGCTTCTTGTTGTTTGACTGACAACAGTCTCATACCAGCAGTAGCCAGGACATACAGAGGTGTTTCTTGGTGTTTTTCCTTTGGTATGTGACTAGCAGCAAAGTCCAATAAAGGTTCAAGATATTCAGATGCATTGAAAGGTTTTGTGGAATAGGTTGAGATACCTAGAGATTACAGTGAAAAGAACACATAAGAAAAACGTGCATGTATTACATACAGATGGATTAAAAATACCTGTGCCCAGTTTTATGAAGGGTAGGTAGCACTATCCGAGGGATAAATCTTATCCACTGGATCAATTTATTGGATTACAGCATCGACTTATCCACTGGATGAGGACTTATGTGTTTGATAGTTCTATCCACCCTACGTACAACWGGGCCCTGATAAATCCTTATCCAGTGGATAAGTYGATGCTGTTAATTATCCAATAAATTGATCCAGTGGATAAGATTTATCCCTCCCTAGCCCTAGGTACATTTATAAGCACAGTACAATAGTTTATATATATTCTCATACTAACATATATATTCTCATACTAACATATATTTTCTCATACTAACATATATTCTGTACTTTAGAGTGATATGGCAGGAATCAAAATAAATGAAATCAATAATAATTACCTGGCTTAATTTTCTTCCTGACAGGGTTTCCACGTGGATCTTTCAACTGTTTTATTTTTAATAGTTCTTCAGGATTGCCATTATGTGGAGGCCAGTAATATAAAAACACCCTAGAGCCACTACTACCGCAGTCTATTACAATCCCATAATGATATTTAGCATCCAAAACGTGCTCTTCTGATACAGCAAGGTTAAAGCGTTTATGATATGACGAACGATGTTTTCTGTAACCCACAGTGAAGTACAAAGCTACCAGGAATATCATTAGGATAATGAATAGAATAAAGTACTTAAAATGGCTATGATGAGTAGCATGAAAGCTTGAACGAGTTATTATTCCAGTTTGGTTGTCAATGACTTGATGTGTGCTGTGTAGGAATGGAACTCGAATGAAAGATGGCAAAGCCAGCCAGCGAAACGAAATTCTGAAACGAAACACATGAAGGTTTTTTTTTGTTATTTACAAGTATTATCTAACGCTCGAGTGAATTCATGTATATCTCARTGAATCAAAACCGTTCGGATCTTGGGAATCGACTAGCTGTGAAAAATCATTCCATTGCCTTGGTTATATTTCTTTCATTTAACATATTTGTAGGGGAAAAAGCTTAGACAAAATAATTTCGATTTGACAGTTGAGTACCATGCCAGTAACTTGATAAGAAATTTATCTTTTTTTAATGAATTAGAAACGCATCAAAAAAGAACAAAGAAAAGGAAATAAAAATACTGATTCGTTTTTGTAAAGGACACTGTGTAAGCTTAGGTCGTCGTACCGAAAAAAACCAATGAAAGTAAACTAAGCTAGGTTTAATTTTTCATTAATAAATATTATTGTATCTTTAGCAAAGCTTACCTGCCAACCATATTGAAGCGAGCAATACCTGTTCTGCTTGTATCAAGACTTCACGACAAGTAACTTATCCATATTTGCAACAAAAGCCGAGTGTTTTGTGGTCGATCGGAATTAAGGAATTGATTTTTGGTAGATATTTGTATATTTCACGAGGATTCCCCTTCGATATTTGAACGCCACGTAATGACTACCTGGTAGGCCTGCTGGATTAAAAGACTGCGGGCGACCTATGCATTTCCAGTCCTCACTCAGTTTATTATTTACAAGGTAACCCATCAAGCCATGTGTGCTGTATTTTTTAGTCTAGTTTATTATAGTTTATTACGCAGAATACTTCTTTATTAACATTGTACACCATCCAATTGAAAATGATAATTTTATTATTTTTAAAATACGCTATTTTACTCTTCCCTGTTTTTTTAACTTTTTTGACAAGCGACATTTTTTTTAGCAAGTGATGCGCATTTATGCGCATTTACCATGCAAATTCATAGTACTTCCTAGCCTTCTTTGCCGGATGTCTGCGGATTTTTTTCGCATACCGCCGGCAACCAAGGCTAGGTATTTTCTAAAATAACGTCGATACCTCGCGCTAGTATTTCAAGAGATGCATTTACCATATTTGGCATTTCCTGGAGATGATGAAATATTCTTATTATTACGTCACAAACACGCACGAAGACCTGACTCTTATTTTAGTTGGAACTTTGAGCTTTAGTTTTCGTGTTGTCTTGTGTAGGTGAACATGGATCATATAATGACAGTCATTATTAAGCTAGATTGCTTATCCAGTAAGATCTCCTTGATTTGCATGGCCAACTGAAGACCTTATATACTGGATCAATAAGGATGGAAAGCCAGGCCAATAAATACTAACAAAAGAGACGCTGATTTGCAGAGCAGGTTGAGCTTGCTTACTTATCCAATAAGGTCTTCCGTTGCCTGCTTGTTCAACTGAAGGCCTTACTGGGTCAGTAATAAGGTAAGAATAGAAAGCCAAGTCAACAAGTTTTGACGAGAAGGATGCTGATTTGCAGACTGATTGATTACTAACTAGATTACTTATCCAATAAGGTCTTCCATTGTTATGCATGGTCAACTGAGGACCTTTTTGGATCAGTATTTTTCATCCTTAAAAGGATGGAAACGGTCAGGCYAATAAATACAAGAGAGACGCTGATTTGCAGAGCAGGTTGAGCTTGCTTATTACAAGTATCCAATAAGGTCTTCCGTTGATATACATGGTCAACTGAAGACCTTACTGGATCAGTAATAAGGATAGAAAATCCGGTACCACGAGAAGAGAGAGCAGAAAGGCTATTGTGAGTATTTCCGGATTACTCTTTGCGTGCGTCCTTTCTACTCAAGTTTACTAAGAGCGATCTCAGAAGAATATGACTTCATGGCRATTCTTTTGACCCACTGGGGTTATCTGTAGTCATACTTCTCTCGTACACCTTTAACGGATATGATTCCCTTCTAGCAGAGTCTCTCTTCTCTTTCTCTCCTTTCTTTCAGGCAGGGAGGAAGGAGACTCTGCCGATGTAGAGTGTTTCCTTTGATACACCGCCATACTCCGCGATTTACGATTGTGGACGAACGAAACCAGTTTTAAAACCGGTTTCTAACCGGGTACATGTAGTGCGCATGRGCAAATGTAACTCACCGTGGCGCTAAGCGCTGTTTGACGAGGGCGGCTGAGCTAAACGCTCAGTGTTCCCTGACTATTAAGCCTCCCTGACTAAGCCGCCTTCCTGAATAAACCTTCCTGACTAAGCCGCCCAGWCAAGCCGCCTGCAGACTTAATTTAATTCAAGCCCATACATACCACTTATAGTAGTCTCGTTTTCATTTCAAAATTGTWAGTTAGGTTTAATTAGTCTGCCGAATGGCCTATATGACCATTTGGGTCTAATAAAAGTGTTTTAAAAAATCAGAATGATGTGTCTTACTTTGCATCGAGTAGAAACTCCTTGACTGAGGGAGTCGGCATTTTAGAACATCWTTCTTTTAGTTTCTGTTCTCTTTTTATCCTTCAGAAGGATACTGGTCATTGTTCGTTCTTCAAGCAGTTTTTAAATCTCGTAGTTCCTTTGAAATTCAAAGATATCTTCTTCCAAAAATACTGAAAGACCAGTCCTGAGCTTGAACCGCCATTTTGATTTCGAGTGGCAAGAAAAGTTGCTGAAAAAAGGCGGGAAATAAATCTCTATGTACGCGTGCGCGAGGCGGCCTGCTAGCAGAAATATATCGAAACTGCTGATTGGTCAGAGTAATTTGGGGTCGATTTTTAACGAAATATTTGATTGGAAAGAAGTCTCATTTGTAATATAAAGTCTTCCTATATTGGTTATTAGCATTTTTCACGGTTACTAAAAATAGATATCACAAAGCCTTTTGGGATCGAAATTCAGAGAAACATTGCAAATGAAGGATTCCATTACACGGAAAACAATAATAATAACCATAGTTCTTCCATAAATTGAAAACAGCAAGACTACAAAATAATATTGCWGCATATTAGCGTATGCAATGGGCTAGGCTTTTCCGCATTTCAATACTCCCATTTCGAGTTCGTTTTTGCTCAGTCTTAGCCTCGATTGTGTACAAATGCATTCTTCATTGTACAGTACCTAAGGAATGTACGTGCTACGGAACTATACGATTTGATTAAAATGCCACGGGTTTTGGTTGAATAGCTGATATATTATAACGCACGACCAAGACTAAGGCTGAGCAAAGAGAACTTGAAACTAGAGTATCGTGACGTCATCTGTGGAAAAACTCTGGCTTTTATTTTATATCTTTATATCTTATTATATATATTTCATTTGTACATAAATATTTGTATTTCTTTCATTATTTGCTAAACTTCTATTCTTGAGTCTGAACCTTTGTTTAGTTTTTGAAGTTTTCTCTCTCTTTTCATCTTGGGTGTGGCAGTCTGGGTGTGCCACACGAGAACCTGAAGACAAAATAGCACAGGATATTAAGATTTCTTTCTTTCTTTCTTTTTTTCTTTTCTTTCTTTCTTTCTTTTTCTCTTTTTTTTTGAGCTGGAAAATGTTTTTTTTTATATGTTTATATGGGGAGAGGTGTCTAAACATGATTTCTCTATACTAGATCTGATTCACTTAGCTGATACATGTATAGTTATCGTAGATTGATAAGTTTTACACCATAGTGAAAATAGGAACTGACATTTCGGATGTTAGTCCTTCGTCGGAGTCAATCTTTGTTTGACTCCGACGAAGGACTAACGTCCGAAACGTCAGTTCCTATTTTTAATTACRGTGTAAAACTTATCAATCTACGATAACTGTTTCATTAGAAACACCGACGCAGTCCACGCTAGTGTTTACTAGCCATCATCTACATATTGATACATGTATAAGTTAAATCATAAAATCGTTTTAAAACTATTAAGAAATCTGACATCCAATAGAGGTTTTGCACTATCACATAACGACAGCCATGTTAGATGGCAGGAACAGTACAATGGTTTTACATGAGAAAGAATTCAATTCCCGAGAGCAAAGGGATTTTATTGTTCTGCCATCTATTCACAGGCAGTCCAAGCTGGATTATGGCACTGGCACATGATGGTGCAAAGCATCTATTAAGCCTTTATAGTCAGACTGACTAGAGTTAGCATTTTTGTAGTTTTGGCATTATTATTATGAACAAAAAGAATACTCAAGATGACTTAAATCTCCATGGCAGGTACTCAGAAACATTGGAAATTTTATTGAATAGAGGCCAAAAACCAAGACATCTCAAAGTATAGCTTTCTTTTAAGGCCACGTAAATGAACTTATAATATGGGGCACACTGTACAATAAAAATGTTCTGACATCTTACCATTTTACAATTATCTGCCAATGGTTCCAATTCTTCTGTTTTTACCAGCTGCCCCACRATGGAAGATTCAACATAACCTCTCTTAGCATACACATCCAAATTAACATCAGGATTATTAATCAAAAGCTTGACATTAATAGCAAAGCCTGCCATGTCTAATGGTAGTGGTCGTTCTGGCTCAAAATCCGTGTGGAAACGTACTACTTTCCCATCCTTACATATTGGGCCTTCCCATTTTAAACCTCCTACAAGTCCAACGGGCCAAACCGAAACCTTTCTGGTGTACCTCATCTGTTAGAAAGTATAATACAGTTGAGTATAAACAAATACAATGTAAGGATGGAGAGATGGATGGATGTTGTTATTTGTGTGACTAGTACTAGTAACCTGGTGGGATACCCAAAAACTGTAACTCATGTGAATAGCCTGAGTAGCGGCCCTCTGGTATTGGAGGTATTGAAGCAATTGGAGTGGGTGTTGGGGGGAGGGGGGAATGGGCCAAGGGGTGTGAGGATTAGGGAAGAGGGGGGAGGGGAAGGGGAGAGAAGAGAGGGCATGTATCCAAGGCCCAGTTTTTTGAAAATATTTTCCGCTTAGAATTTGAATGTACATAGAATCTGATTTGACAAGACCTAACGTCTCTTCTCTCCCTTCCCTCCTCCCTCTTCCATTATCCTTACTCCCCTTGCCGCTTGCCCCAATCCCCCCAAAGCCTGAGGGCTGCTGCTCAGGTGATCATTACAAAGCTGTATTGTTGACTGTCATTTTCAAAGAGGAATAAACTTATTAGCCTCCACCTCTGACATCCCTTATTTCTTATGTAAATTTTTCTATTTGTGGGCTACCTGTSTCTGTAATAATTTGATCCAACATATTGATCCACTGAAAGCCCCAAAAAAAGAAAAGACAGAATATGAGATGTCTGCAATAGAGACTATAGTAACTTCAGGATTTTTTGMATTCCTTAATAATGGACTTTTCAAGGATTTACTTGAACCTTCAATCACAGGAACTTACCATTTCAAATATTCTTAAATCATAAGTATTATCATCATCAGCAAAGTAAACAACACCATCTCCATTTTGAGGATCAAAGTTGTCCCTAATCCATTCAATTGCAAGGTTTCTTTGCTCAACTCCTCTATTCTTCAACCATCTTGGATCATTCTCCCCTCGTATCAACTCATTCCTTGTTCTGATATTAAGATGAGTGTATGTAATCAAGCACCTTTTCAAAAATCTTTTGACCAAGTCAGTCTTTTCATTTGAATCCTCAATAACAATCCAGTGTATTCTTGGAACATGTAGCAATGTCTGATACAATCTCGTAAGTTCAGCTTTTTGAGTTAGTCTCGTATGAGTAGGAGTCAGGATAAAAATAACTGGTACAGTCTCTGAAAAGAAATTCTTATTTGCAATCCCAAGTATTTTTAGTTTTTCCAKTATATATTTTTCTTTCTTCTTAATCATAAGTTCTCTGGCCTTCATACTTTGTAAATTTGAGTCATATATTTGTCGACTGAATTCCTGGGACCACTGTGGATCTGTTGATATGAATTATGTGAACAAAGTTAAAAAATACTGAGAACACATGCAGTGCAAATAAATAAATTCATCCAACATGGCGACCGAAAAACCATCAATACAAAAAAAAAACTTGTCATTGCTTATCATCACCGCAAGGACAGCAGTGGCGCAGCTCAACGGGGTTGAACTGAAAGCATGTGAAGGCGCCTCTGGCAGGTGCTATACAGTCCATGTATGACCCCAGAGCACAGCTCTAACCAATTTGAATTAGTTAGGGTAATTTAGTCAATATACATGTAGTCCAATCAATGAAGTCCATTTATGACTCCAGAAAAAACATCCTACAAAGGGAAGATTTTCAATAGCTTGAAATCAGTAAGCAGTGAGTCAGGGATCCCTCTTTTAAAACCTAAAGAATCCTATTTAAAACATATGAAAACACAGTGTGACAATGAAAACAATGAAAATACACAGAGTACGAATATCATACCTTTTGAACAGTGTAATACTATCCAAATTAGCCCTAAAAACCCCATAAACATAGAAAATACGAYTAAGTTTCTTGGAGTGATGATTTTCATCCTCATTTTTCGATTTCATGCGACATTTACAAATTATTTTACCAACAAAACAACATGAAATATTTTGACACGTAGAAAACAGTATTCGATCAGGCGTTACTYTCAAATATGTTGGAAGACTGAGGACTACTTCCACAGGAAACCCAAGTCCAATATTTTTTCATCACTCATAATCAACTGACAAAATTAGGTTCATTTAACCCATAAAAGCCTTAGATAATATTATTAAGTGCGGGAATCTTTTGTGGTCTTCCCTAAATATTTTATTATAAAAAATTCTTTATAAGAAATAAAATTTAAAAAATTCTTTTTTAATTAGAATTTGGCTACCTGTGGAAGCGGGGGATTGAGAGCTACAATCGAGCTACAAGGTTTTCTTGCATAAGTTTAGCTAAAAGTTTCAACTTTGTTAGTTTGAAATTTATATTTTTGGACTCAGATTTGTCCCAATAATTTCGATCAGAAGGAAATATCAAGCAAGTGGATCTTTGGAGGATTTTTTTGTGATTAATCGCGATGGTTTGGCCGTTAATTATGGCTGGTGCCAGAGCGTATGCACCCTATCTCGTGTTCCCCTTTGCACTCACTGTAGGAGCCATTGGATATGTATTTGAAACACGCTTTAGAAATCAAGACAAATGGCAGCAGAGTCGAGAGAGCACCCTTGAGGAACGATCAAACAGACAATTGGATAACTTACTCGATAAAACAGAGGTTGACAAGCTACAGTATCGCCAAGGAGTTCCCAAGACTATATTTGACCGAGATCAAGGGTACAAACGAGGTTTTACTGGAAGATCTATGAGAGTGGATGACACAGATAACCATGAATCCTAATGACTGTATTTATAAATAAATTCTTGTCATTACTATAAACCTGGAGGCAAAGATCTCGTCTTTATTACAGTTTTAAACTGCTCATGGACAAAGACAGGCATTAGAGAGATTTTTTTACTGGACATTTTGTAAAATGAAATGAGAATTGAAGAAATTGTTTGGAATGGGAATTTGTGTGTTAGTAGAAAACATTTCTATTTTTCACCTTATAGGTGAACTCATTGATTGATTCACTCCATTTCAATAAACCCTTCTTGAATTTCCTTGAGTCATTATGAAATGGTGGTTGGACCTGTTATAAAATACAGAAAATCAATGAACACATCAAGTCCAGCCTAGAATGGGAGCCCTTTTTCATGCTCGCTCAAGTGAATTCAGGAAAGACCAGGCTGTAAGCCATGTGGGATGGGCTCGGAAATCATATAAGAACATGCGCAATAGGTAAATTATGAGCCTTGTATGAAAAGACTGAAGAAGAGTGCCAAATGGGTCTTTCACAACTTCAAGTCACGTAAAAAAAGAGCCAGCTTAACTAGAAACCGTGGAAAGGCCATTGGCCCTCTTCTTCAGTTGTTTCATACCCGGGGGAGGGTACTCCCATATATGAACCATACGGGGATGATCTGCTGAACAGGGTATGGTTTTTCGAGCTTCTTGTCATAAACAGGGTATGCAATTTCACTCAAGGTCCAAATTCTTCATGAGTTTCTTGTCATACTCAGGATTTCTACTTTCATATTGACTGAAACTGGTTACCATGGTTGTAAAAAAATGATACGTGAGATGACATGATAATTGAAACAGGAACTCAGTGCAATTAATTATATCTTTTGTCATAAACAGGGTCTACAAAT